GTTTTAAGAATCGTATAATTAGCGGTATCAAAGAAATTCTTGGTTTTAATGACCTGATTATTTACCATCCCTGGTACAGATGGAAAGGTTAGTTTATACAGGTTAAGATGAAAATACTAACAAACACATCACATTTTACTTTGTATTACTAGCTGTAGAAGACATCTTGGAATGATTGATAATAAGCTGTTCTTCACATTTTGTAACTCACAAAAAATACAAAAGTGTAGCAAAATGTCATAATGTTATTGGGATTATATGGACTTCATCTGGACTGGATTAATGATTGAGTTAATTAGTTGCACTGGTAAGTAGACTTTATTACCATCACACAACACTACAGTGTCTATTTCCCTTATTTATTGTTAAAGCATCCTGAGCCACCAGGAAAATAGAAAGTTAAATAAAATTAGAGTTTGGTTCACAAGAAACATACTCTTATTATCTGCCCAACTTTAATTTTTAATGCAGTTAACATCATTATGTGTGTAAAGTGTAATCAATGTGTTAGCAGTGTTGAGTGGACTATTTCTACTTTCTGTGCTTTGAGGCACTTCTGAAGCTCCACAGCCGAAAGTTACGTCTTTGTTTTAAGATTTAATTGGCTGTGGTTTGATCTTAATGGCCCTGGGCAAATATCTGCTTACAATTAAATCTGCAGTGTTTTAAAAAGTTTGCCTATTGTTAAAATTATTTATGAGTGCTTTATAAAAATCTGCACTTTGAAACAAATTGCTTTGTTTCTAAATTTTATAATCTGAATGCTTAGCAGCCTCTGTCTAGAGGGAAATGAGAGGATTTACAGAGCAAGATAAAAAGCCCAAGTAAATTACAGCAAAGCCATTCATTATATTTTAGTCATTATTTCTAGCTGTAGAAAGTATGTAGGAGTAATATAGTATTTTGGATAGATTGAAAACCAGATGTTCCTCCCAAATGTTCCTCACAGCATTATTGGGATTGTAAGAAACTGACTGAGCTAATGAATCTTTTCCGAATGAGATAGAGCATGTTAATGCTGAGCATTAAGTGGATTTTGTTTAGTCACTGAAAGCTAAGCTGGGTGTTTCCTGTTTTCGTGATAAGCTAGGCTAGGCTAACTAGCTGCTGTCCATAAATGTGACATATAATATTATAAATGTGCTTCCTCAAAAGAACAAAAGAATATTAGCAAAATTTTAATTAATTGTATATTTAATAATCTAGGAAGATTTTGAACAAAAATGTAATTACCCAGCAGTCTGAAAACAAGTTTACATGTGCAGCATCAGTCACAGTATTATTACACAGTATGCTAATGTTTTTCAAACGTTAGAGCGATATTATCTCATTCTTGTAAAAGGCATTACCTCAACATGCAGACCAGGGTTCAAACGCACACACACATAGACACACACACCTTATCGCTGGTACAACCAGGAGAGACAAACAGATCAATAAGCGCTACCTGCACCAGTCAAGAACTCACAATTACCGTCAGTGCCTGAGGAGAAGATGACATTTGAAAAGATTTCTCAAGATTTCAGCACAGATGGGCATTCAGTCTCTCACCGTCAAAGATTTCGACAAGGTACAGCTCACTTTACAATCAAATTCAGAGCAGTTTCTTTTCTGCTTTTTTTAATACCACCGCTTTACTCCCTCCTTGTGAAATCTGACCTCGTGGAACTTTCACTCGTTTACTCATTTTGGTTTCAGATACATGTAAAACATTTGTAATAAGTGTGTTACATTGTTTAAAACTAAACCACATAGCAGATTGCTCTGTCACCTACTAGGAAAGCCCCCATTATAAATTTATTTGATTTATTTGATTTACTGAAGACAAAATATTTTATTAGGATTTTTAACTGAGAGGAACATTTTCAAGGTCTGTTTGCAGATGGAAGCAGACCTGCGTTTCCACACCACCGACTGGTTATACTGAGTCTGAGCCTGCTGAATGCTGTTCTGCTGATAGCTGCTGTTGTCATTGGGATCTACTGTAAGTATGAGAGTCAACAAGAAACTCCTTAATCTGAAGTATAATCCTTGTTCTGTATGATATTAATCGCACAAAGTAGTAGAACCAAGTACAAACGATGGTATGAAACTGCAGAAACTCATATGATTTACTTTTACATATAAGAATATCTGATTGATTAGAGTTTATTTCTAGACCAGGGTTTCTTAATGTTTTCAGTGTGCCAAATGACACAGGGCCACACTCAAGAATAATACTGTATTTGTAATGTTTCGTTTTGGACACATTACAACCACAGCATTTGCGGTTTATGTTGGTATATGCCATTTTTACTATCATGAAACAGGTATGTGTTGCTTTGCAGTTGCTTTGGTCGCTAGATGGTTGCAAGTTTTGCTAGTAGTATGCATGGAAGATGCTAACTTATCTGCTAACCCTCACTAACTACTTACAGAGCAGTATTAAACTGTGAAAAGTGCAACTAAATGAAAATCGTTTGCCTTCAAATCAAAAATTCTGCCTGGAGAAATGTGTTAGTTGCCGCACAACTTTTACTTTGAAAGCAAATGTCGTCTGTTTCTGCGTTTTGGCAGAAACTAGAAGAGTAAATGGTTACTGTTTGTGCGTACAATAGTGTCTTTCATACAAATTAGAGGTAATCAAAGCAATCTGCTGGCAAGGTTTTTCACTCAGCCATAGTCAACAACCTGAGCTCAATTCCAGTGTAGTTCTTTGTATAGTTATTTGTATATTAGCTGGTATCTGTATCTGTGACAAGCACTCATAGTGTCTATAGATGCAATACGCTAACAAATCTACTTTGAAACAAATATGTGGAGCCAACATGGCATCTGGAAAACTGAAGATCACAAACCAATGGCTGACATCACTGTGATTAGAGCAATCTTTTATATTGACCCTCTTTTCCTTTCTCGTTTCTTATCTTTTAGGTGTCAAAGCCAAAGACTTTCAGGTTTCAGATTCATCTGTTTCACCCTTGTTGATTGAAATGAACCATCTCCGCAACCACAGCGGTATCATCAAAGAGAGGCTGGAGGCCCAGGCAAAACTGGTGAAAGAGCGCACCAACCACGTGCAGCTAAAGCTCCAGGTGAAGCAGTTGAAGGTCGAAAATGATTTGCTTCAGCGACAAATTGAGACACTAAATGCAGCAAAATCAAATCTCCAGACAAATAAAACTCTCTTAGGTAAGTTCAACCTCCAACCAATCTTTGTGAACATGCAGCATGCTGTGAATCTGCACGGCTTACTATAATATAGTAAATGGTTGTTCGATCTCTCTTGGAACAGAGGAAACCTGCGGCAGATGCCCAACAGGATGGCTCCTTCTTAAAACATCCTGTTATTATTTTTCTCACCATGAAATAAACTCCAGAAAGAACTGGACGGAGAGCAGACAATACTGCATTAATCAGGGCGGTGACTTGCTTGTCATCAATAACTTGGAGGAGCAGGTTGGTCAGAAACAAAGTCTCTTGTGTTTAAACAGTTTATTTTGTAGGCCTCTGTGTCTGGTTTTAAAATGCCAAGAAGTTCGAGCCCACCATGTGTGAGAAAGTTATCTTCTGTTAATGATTAAGATTCATTTCAATTTCATAATCTTGGTGCATAAAAAAGTAAAGCCACAATAATACACGTTTAAGTTTAGCAATTACTCATTAACTTGTACTTTATTAAGAGCTTTACACTCAAAAACTTTACCACTGCTACATCTCTGCTCGTGTGTGGGTCTGTGTGGGTGTGATTTAATTAGACTGAACTTACTTTAAACTGGCAAAGTAAGAAAAATAGTACTTGTCTAACGTCTTAGAGCACATATGTGACATCTTGATAAAGGCTAACCACGGGGAGCAAATGTTTTATATTCATGATAGCATTGCTCAGCTATGCCTAAACGAAAGGGCTTTTAAATTCTGTTTGATCACACCATACTTATTTGTCATCATTTAAAAATCAAATTGAATGTCTGCTTTCTCATAGCTCCTCATAACCGACAACTTTCAAAAAGTGAGCAGCTCTGGCGTATGGTGGCAGAATGGATACTGGATCGGCCTCACTGATGTGGTGACAGAGGGAACGTGGGTCTGGGTTAACAATGTGACAGAGGTGGATTCAATGTAAGCGACTCCTGAAGCGCTGTGATTCGTTACTGACAAATGTACTGAAAACATGTTCCTCTCTAAGCGATTGTCCTTTACTCAAGGTACTGGAGAAGTGGGCAGCCCGACAGCTCTGGTGGGGAGAAGAAGAACTGTGCTGCTTTTCTTTTCTTTACCGATAATGTGAAGACGTGGTACAATGTAGAATGTAGGAGCAAACAGCTGAACTGGATCTGCGAGATGGAGCCAAAGCAAACCGCAAGGGGACCTCAATGATGACGTTTTTAAATAATAATAGCAATAATGTCATAAAATCTCTCAAATAAATTAGCTGTAACTTGACATGTGAAAAATTGTGTTATACACTAATGTAAGTGACACGTTTTCTGTTTTTTAAGTATTTTGACAACACTCAGCATATTCAGTTGTATATGGGGGAAAATGTCTGCAGTATCTGGTCTGTCATGATTTTAAGATGTTTAATGCTTAACTTGATAAAATAAAAATTCCTCCTTAAAGAATATTTCTGATCCTAATCTTGTTTAGATGATCTGAAAACTCTGCTGTTCCTTTACCCCCTGTAAATAGTTAACAAGTGAACTTGATTTTCTGTTTGCATTGTTACACACACACACATGCCCAAACACCCGCAGGGCAATGTCCTAACAAATACTCTCTCTTTCTCGGGTGATCTTGCTGCACTCTTCTCATCTCGTCGATTAAAATGGAGGACAACGGAAACAATGCTGGCTTTTTTGAGAGTACTTATAACAAACTGACTTATCCTGAGGACATTAGTGAAGATGACCACAGTTTCAACTTGAACCAGGAGAGGCAACAAGGTAAATGACAAGAAGATGAATGACGATTAAGGAAATATGTTTGATGTTTCTTCTCTAGCAGAAACTAGCTTTGCTCTTCACAGCACTTTTTATAACTTATGATTACACATCCACATTTTCGCCCACAACTTGGGTGTTATTTTGATGTTGCTGTATTGTGTATGGCTCTGATATTTATCCACCACTTATCTGTGTAGTGTCCCTGTCCACAATGGGGCCTGGATCCTGTGTAAATCGTTACAAAGTGCTTGCAGTGAGCCTGGCAGTGCTCGCTGCCTTTCTGCTGGCAGTTGATATTGGCCTGGGAGTCTACTGTAAGTGATTACTGCAAGCTGCAGTTTTTGTTATATTGAGAAAATTTTTAAATCTTAAAAAAAAGGCTCAACAGGAGGGAAAATAATCATCTCTTGTGGGAAAATCGAGGTCAACAAAAAGGGATTTGGTTTATTCTCACCTGACTCTTTTTTATCTAGTTTTAACTCCCTGGTTTGGTTTTCCACCCTGTAGCTTCACTGCTTATTCACCTGTGTTTGTGTCCTCAATAGGCAGCTAATTTTACTGAAAAGTCTCCAATAAATACTGTTTCACTACCTGCCTGCCACAAAAGAGTAGCTAAAGTTAGCAGGTGAATACAGAAGAAACATTAGCATCTATGAAACCGGATGTTATCCCCTCAAATTCATGGAAACCAAAATAATAAATCCCAGTCTTTTTTTCATAAACTGTATACGGTTGTTTTGTGTCAGCTTTCTAAAACGTTTGTTCCTGCTGCCCCCAAGTGATCAAAATAGAAAAAAACAGAAAATGCAGGTGTAATTACTAACATTACAAATGTACCTTAAATTACGGTCACTAAAGTAGCATCAGGGAAATTCAGAGTTTGTATTCCCTTAGAAAAACATATTAGTTGACACATTTTTTTCACCTGGTTGCAAACACAAAAAACTTTCTATACATGATTTAAGCTACAAAATATGAGGTGCGCTTGATTATTTGATTAATAAATATGTTCATTTTTAAAAATGGTGAATATGCTTTTGCACCAATGACTATTATATCAGGTTTTGCCCACTTTATTGGCTGATATTAGATTACTACAGATCACTCATGCCAAATGCCAGACTAATTTGAGTTTTAATTTAATTGCAGTATTTCTGTTACATAATTTATCCATATAAGAGGACCAACAAGCTGATAACTCAGTTGTAAATACCTGTTACTTCTTTATTTAGAAAGGGTCACCAGAGCAGGTGGATCAGCAAATGTGGCATATTTAACCAATCTTGAACTGGGGATCTTTTAGTTGTTAGGCAAATGTATTAACAACTATACTAAAGCGCTATTCCCTATGTTATTTAATTATGGGACAATTAAAAAAAGGAAAATGTGTAAACAGTCTTAGCTGTGACCTAAAAACTGCCTGTGTTCTAGATAATAAATAAATATTTTTAAGTGAGGTTTGTCTGCTACTGCTCTTTTGTTATTTCCGTTAGAGTTCTTTCTTCAGCTGTACCAACACCGTAAAAATTGTACTGTTTTTAAAGTCTTCCTTTTCTCTACTTTCAGACTACAGACTTACTTATGGGAACCATTTAGTAACAGACATCAGCGCTGAGATTGTCAAATTGCAGGCTACTTACAACGCTGCACTCCAAAGCAAGACTGAAGCCAAACAGGAGGTGGCGAAAGAGATCAAGTCGCAGCAAATTACCAAGTGGGAGCTTGACCATCTGAAAAGAAGGAAAAAAGATACCGAAAAACTAATAGACAGAACTGAAACGGAAATAGCGATGTTGGAATCCCACATGCCTATGCTCAGTGAGATGCTTTTTCTTTATTTATCATGTTAATAAATGCACTATAATTGTCATGTCATTCCTTTTTTTTTGGTTTTTGTCAACAGAAGAGGGCTGCAGACAGTGTTTGCCAGGCTGGACTGTCATTAACTCCATGTGTTACTTCTTCGCTTTATCTGAGGAACTCTCACGGAGATCATGGATGGATGCCACACATTTCTGCAAGAGGCAAGGAAGCGACTTATTGGTGATCAACAGCAGAGAGGAACATGTAAGACTCAACATTTAAACAACACAATGAAACTTACTGACAAAATTACAAGTTCCACTTCTTATGAACAGCACTAGCATATATGAATGTTTGTGTGTGTTTTCATGTACATGTGTATTTCCTATATTGTCAGATGGCCCTTGCTGAAATAGTAACAATGTCTCGAGACCCCTCGAGATCGCTTGCCCACAGTGGATTCTGGATTGGACTGAGAGATGCAGATGTGGAAGGAAGTTGGACATGGTTGGATGGGACAAGGCTGGAAGAGGGGTATAAATTCTCCTAAAAATCTTAATCCATAATGACAAAGTGAAAGAAGTTTGCTTGCTATTTTTTTTTTTTCAAATCAACATTTACATAAGTCCTCACAGCCTTTGCCATAGCACTCAAAATTGAGCTCAGATGCATCGTGTTTCCACTGATCACTTGTCAGTGGTTTCTATTCGTTTTTAATTGGAGTTCATTGTGGTAAGGATTGTATGAATGCACAGATCTGGGAAAGGGTACAGAAACATTTCTGCACCCCTGAAAGTCCCGATAATGGCTCCATCCTCAGTAGATGTAAGAAGTTTGGAATCACCGGGAATCTTCCTGGAGCTGGACGCCCAGCCAGTCTGAGCAATCAGGGTGTAAGTGCCTTAGTCAGCGAGAACTCGATGGTCACTCTAATAGAACAACTCTCAAAGTTGTTCAGGTCATGTGCAAAATGCTCTGGACTGATGAAACAAAGATTGAACTCTTTGGGCTGAATGCCAAGCATCATGTCTGAAGGAAACAAGGATCAGCACCTAGCTAATTTTATTCCTACAGTGAAGCATGGTGGTAGCAGCATCATGCTGTGGGGATGTTTTTCAGCAGCAGGAACTACTCAAGACTACTCATGGTCGAGTTGATGATAACTTGCTCCAGAGCACTATGGACCTGGGACTGGGGTGAAGGTTCATCTTCCAACAGGACAACAACCCTAAAGGTGGCAAAAGGTGCTTCAACAAAGTATTGAGTACTGAGCAAGGGCTCTGAATACTTATGTACATGTTGTATTTTTGTTTTTTGCTTTTAATGCGTTTGCAAGAATTTCAAGCAAATCTTTCTGACTTTGTAATTATAGGCTGTTGTGAAAAGCTTTGAAGTGAAAAATGAATCAAATCCAGTTTGGAATAAAGTAATGTAATGTGACAAAATGTGGAACAAGACAAACGCTATAAATTCTTTCTGAATGCCCTGTAACCATTATCCACTTGTGATAACGTAATTTAAGTATATGTCAGTTTATTAATTTAAGTATATGGTAATTTCCCATATATCTCTGTCAGAGCACACATAAAAAAAACTAAGCAAAGTTACCCATCTCTTGTTTCAGGTACTGGGATAATGGAGAGCCTAACAACCAAAACAATGAAGACTGTGCTGCTATGTATCCCAGAGAAAACCCCTTTCATTCATGGAACGATGCTCCATGCAACTGGAACCTGAAATGGATTTGTGAGAGGACACCAAGACCTTTTAGCTCTAGCTTAAATGTTTAAACAGAGAGTCAAGTCTGGCTTTAAGGCATGGACGTGTCTTCTGAACTTTTTTTTTCTTTATTGTCATGTCTTTTGCAAGAGACTACAAAATGTCCAAGAAGATTAAAATAAGAAAAATACATCTGAGTTATAAAGGCATCTACAAAATGTATGTAAATTCTGTAACTGTTACAAATAAAACCTTCACCTTTACTATGTACACATATTTTACCACTGTACAGATATGTACACTAACATGCCAGTGTTTCTGGAAAACCTTTACATGCCCTCTAAAGGTCATGTTAGTTATAGCCCAAACATTTACCATTTAATGGGCTATATTTGAAACACTTGACCTAGACATTTTAGACCTAGCGTTTCATCAACTACAGCCTTTTGAAACTCTAATGAAATAGAGTTTTACAGAGAACAGTGAAAAAATCAAAGAAACAACCAATGAGCTTATTCTGTACACAACAATAAGTCTACAACAGCTCAAGCTGGAATCAAATGAGGACAATCACATCACTTTTCAACACTGAAGTGTAGAATTACAGTTAACAATTAACACTTCAAAGGGTCACCACTCATTTTGCTAAAGAGCTTCAATTGTAGATGTACCTAATAAACTGGCAGTTAATAAATAAACACAAGCTAAAACTAATCCCACTTTGTCCATTTCCAAGACTAACCTACCAAATTATGACTTTTTTAAAGACTGGGTTAAAAAAAAACCCGGTCGTTTGCAGTGCTGTGGTCCCTCACAGCACTGCAAAGTGCTGTCGAAGTTGCTTGAGAAGCTGCTGAGTGTCGACGTGTTCTGGGAAAGCGTCCTCAGATTTTTGGGCTGCACTGTAGCTGCTCTGAAGGTCCCCAAGCTGGACACAGACAAGAAGATGTAAAGATCACACTTTGTCACTTTTAATCGCACTGCATGATTTGGTTGGACCTTGATAGCGATAAATTACCTTTTCAGAGAGAATGGAGAGATTGAAGTGTGGCTCGTACATATGGGGGGCCAGTGATGCAGCAGTCTGAAGGAAGGCTTTAGACTGGATTAATGGCAGGGAAACAATTAGAATAGAATTCAACTTTATTGTCATTGCACATGCACAGGTACAGGGCAATGAAATGCAGTTTGCATCCATCCAGAAGTGCTTTAGTGATATAGATATATTACAATATATATTAGCAATAATATAGATATGTAAGTATGTTACAGAAATGGGTCTATTATGGTATATTATAATGTACACGATATGAAGTATGTTATGAATATTCTATAACTATAAGTATGTACAGGCTGTAGTGAGTACAAGCTATGTACAGGCTATGAACAGGATATAAATATGAAATAAAAAAACTATACAGAAATCTGAGATATACAGTTATACAGAAATGTGAACTATGCAAGTTATAAACAGTTGTAGGATTAAAAATTAACACCTGACATGAAAATGTATATGAAAATGCAGTGTTTACAGATTTAAAGTTTTATTTTCTTTAATTGGAGCAATCCTTACATCACTTTGCCATCATCATTATCACTCTGAAAAAACAGGAAAACCCTGAAAATTTAACCTTTTAATTCATGTTGGCAGGAGAAGTGTTAAGCAGGTGGATTGCTCATGTTCCTTCTGCTACTGGAAAAATAAAATCCCATATATCTCATGACGCTTTGTCTCATATCAAGCTATTATTGCTAAATTGCTTTATTGCCTAGCTCTTTGTTGGAGTAACAGGGGTTTACTGAATATTGGATTTATATTACGCAGGTATAATTTGAGAGATATCTTTTGATAATATGAGCTGGATTACAGTTTATACGATGCTAATAACTACATTTTAGTGATTTTCTTATAATGGGCTGTGTTATATCACATTAGAGGTCAGAAGGATCACCATTATGATTTCATTACTCATATTTTAGCAGCTTAACAAAGACAATGATTCAAAACTATGTCTTTACCTGTTCAATGTGACCTTTTCGCAGCTCCAGCACAGCCAGGTTGTTATAGGCTTCAGCATGGTCATTATTAAATGCCAAAGTCAGTTTAAAGCACTGATAGCCCAGTGTCAAGTCCCCTATTCCCTGTAAACACAGAGCATATTCTAAATTATACGATGTAAGGTTGTCATTTCAATTAACTAAGTGTCAAATTATGTTAACTGTGAACCATATATGGAAGTGAAACATATTAAATCATTTTCTGGTAACTCACTACAGCCACGTGTCCTATGTTGTACCAGACATCAGCCTGCTCTTCATCATTGGCCACCAGGGCCAGAGCCCTCTCAAACGAGGACAGAGTCATATCGTACTGCTGGGCGTAGAAACAGCACAGGCCCAGGTTGTTGTACAGTTGGCAATTATACACTCCCATCTGGAGCAGCCGTCTAGCAATGGGTGAAACATATTAAATCACAGATGGTAAATAAAATCTCATCAGATAAATTGTAACAACACATTATACAAATTGTACAGAAAGTTTGTCTGACCTATAGAAGCGCAGAGCAATCTCAGGCTGATCTGTATAGAAGTGATTGCTGCCTATGCAGGCTATGGCCTCCACGTGAGTGTTGTCCTGCTTCAGGACGTCCTTATAGTACTCTGTCGCTGATGAAATGTTGTTCATCTCCTGTCAAAATACCATTTTAGAGACAATTAATGAATGGACGGAGGGATGGATATCTTTAATGATTCATGCAACTGTTAAGGTTATACTCCATGCAGCTATGGTGGAAAGTTTACATTAGTCCAGTGGTTCCCAAATAGCTTGGAGGCAAGTCGTTAAGATTTTGTGTCAACCAAACACTATTACTGTAACTGAAAGCCCTTTTGTCTTTAACCTCAGCAATTTAAGTACTAAGGTTAATATTGCAAAGAAGCTGGGAGTGAAGCTGTTGTTAAAGCTGGCTTCCTTTAACTATGACTGCTTGCAAAGGTGAAGCCATTTCTCCACTTCAGTGACTCTGAAAATGTTACTCATTCCTTAATTTAGTCCAGACTTGACCATTAACAGTCTGCTTTCAGGTGTCAGCCTGTCACTGTTTGGCCAACTAAAGCTGGCCGGCTCTTAACTGGCAAGTGTAACCAAGACCACACATCACTCATATTAGCTTCCTTTATTGGTTGTCAGTAAGTTTTAATTTTTTTTTCTTTGATTTTAAGTGATTGCAGGGGTTGGCACCTCCTTAGCTCTCTTATTGAGCAGGTCTGCTGAGCAGAGGCTTTTGACTGTCCTGTGGTCCAGATTAAAACAAACAGGAAATCAGAAACTTAAACGTACCTTCTCCTACATTGTGGAACAAACTGCCTAATTACATCAGGGGCATTAGACATTTTTGAAAACAGTCTTTGGTTATTACACCAGACTAAGTTCTGATTACTTTGAATTGTGCTTTTACTGTTTTTATTTTTGTCATTTTGTTTTCTTTATTTAAGCAGTTTTATTGTCTAATTATTTTATGATATTTATTCTTTTAGCTGTTAAGCACTTTGGGATACATCATAAAAACATTCCACTTGACTTAACGGCACAAAAAACAACAAATTCAATTTAATTTTAATATACCAGAACACATCAGCTTCCCTGACTGAGAAGGATAAAATTTGTGATGATGTAAAACTGAACAATTTCTTCTGAAAGGAAAACCACACAAAAGCATCTAAAAGGAAAAAGAAACTGTGAAGAAACTACATCTTTTGGATCCAGCTGAGAGTGCCAAACAAGCTAAAGAGCCACTCTGAAACCCAAAAACACTTCTAAGAGACACTCTGCCTACTGGAAAAGAGCTTTTGAAGTGAACCAAAGGCAACTAGAACTTGTCTGAATTGTGTTAAAGTGCCTGATAAGGAGTGGTTATGTGATAGTCGACAATGCAATTAAATAAAAAACTGACTATATTCGAGATGATGATGGCATACTGTACCTCATGGATACGAGCTATTCCTGTTAGAAGGGTAACCTCTCCAGGGAAGTGGTCCAGGCCTTGCTTGAAAAGACTGAGAGCCGTTATTGGCTGATCCATACGCTGATAAACCTAAGGGAAAATGAAAACAAGAATAGTGATTTCAAGAAAAACATTGCTTTAGAGAGAGAACCTTAAAATGTACAAACCCTTGGCAATAATCAGTACCTTTGCGAGATAGAGATACGTATCTACCATCTCTTGGTGGTTGAGAGCTGATCGAAACTGTTTTTCTGCTTCTCTATATAAACCAAGCCTAAGAGGAGAGAAACAGACATTACATAATTTCATATACATAAATGTTAATTTAATCAAACATTGCAGTTGAATAATATGAAGGATGGTGTGTTACTTGCCTGTAGTAGCATTTTCCCAGCTGAACTTTCCACCACCAGTCTTTGAACTGTGCATGTTCAGTAGCTTGAGCAGCTAAATCCAAAGCCTGTACAAGGAATATAATATTTCTTTACATACAGTCCTGTCATCTAATGTGTGGTAGTTTTCTTTACACTGCAGATTTGTGTATCGCTTACATTTTTCACATCATTTTCATGATGGAAGATGTACTCAAATAATGTCTGTGGAGAAAGAAGATTGCTTCACATACAGGAAAAACACAATAGAAAACAACTGATAAACGTCTGGAAGTCACAGTTTGAGTCTTACCCTGGATAAATTGGGTTTTTGGGAATACTTGGCCAGATTTAGTCTAGACAAGTTTATAAATGGTCCTTCAGGATTTGTTAACATTGAAGCCTAGAAAAACAATAAAGGAAATAGGTCATGCTAAGAATTTCAGGCTTTCAGTGTAACATAATAAATAATAAAATGACTGTTGCTATCAGTCTTACATTAATATATTGTCTGCTACATAAATTAACTTGAGAAAATGCAATAGAAACAGGCATGTGTCAAACATGGCCTTTAGTAGGAATACTCACTGTCCCCAGACGAATGAATCTACCAGAAGAAGCGGTGACAGGACGAGCTGTGCTTGCAGTACGTGGGGTTTTGATGGCCTGCTCCATTGTCCCAGGGCGCCCGGACTGTGTGCTGGGTCTCACAAATCCTGTTATAGGGCGTCCTGATTGTGTCATGGGCCTAGATTTCAAGAAATAAAATATATCTGATTAGAGATTAATCACGAAAGCGTCATCAGTTTGGTTTTTTGTTTTTGTTGTCTTGAAAGACCTACCTAACAGCTGGTGTGGGACCTCCACCATGACATGTTCCAGGAAGTCTTAGTGATGTTCCAGGTCCTTGCAGAGATCAAGTGTTATAAAAAAAAAAACTAATTAAGAAAATGTTCAAATTATTAATTTAATGAATTGTGGAATTCGGAGCAAATGCTTAAACTTACGTGCAACTTGAGCAATAGAGCTTTCATCCAGCATCATCTCAGCAATCCCCTCCTGGTCAACCTCGATTTCATCTATGTAAACCATCTCTGTAAGAGCACGGGTTTTCAAGCTCCATGCAGCCTATGACGCACGCACGCACACACACACAAGCAAATTTTAGTCATGTAAAATATTTCACATTTATTCCACATTTATGTAGAAGAAGGCATAAAACAGTTTGGAGCTACAACACAAATTATCCACAAAAAAGAACAAAATGAGATGGAAAACAGAGACATGTGCAGTCATGGTTACCTCTGAGATTAGCAAAGATGAGTCCTTAAGATAGAGTGCAGACAGTTAGCGAGAGAGTAAAGAGATTTAAGAAAAATGTGAATAAATGGAAAGGAAGCAGAACGAACATAAGACACGATAGAAATGAGACTTGAAAAGAAAAGTAGCGTATAGCAACAGCTACTAAGTTTATAATAAACTGAATAAGTATGATGAAATGCTACGTTAGTGAGATATAAACAACACAGGCTCAACTAATCGGGATTATGCAGCAGGTTGTCCAGCTGTCCATCGTTAGCAAGCTAGGCTAACCCTGCTAACTTCACCACAGTACCTGGTCGTATGGGTTGTCTTGTAATATTTTCGTACAAATATCAGAACATTGTTGGAGTTTCCGCCTCCTGAAATAGCTCCACGCCAGAAACAAGGGGTCCATCGTCACTTCCATTGCTTTTGCTAATCAGGGAGAAATAGCGTAGATCTAAAAGTCAGTTAGCAAGCTGCTAAGAGAAGCAGCGATGAAGGCGAGACCGAGGCTTCCTCTGTCGCTCGGCAACAGCCTAGGAGGGCGGTCCTTCACTGCCGCAATTTCCTCAAAAGAACTGAATAAAAGAAAAGAAAGTTAAATTAAATTAAATTGGGACATCATGGGACATCACTGTTCTTTTTAAAATTAATGCATTAATTCAAATTTGATTTACAAGAAATATAGATCAAATAAAATAAATAAAAATAAAAATATAAATCTGTGGAAGCAGTTAATTTAGGTGAGTAAAGAACTTTCTTACTCATAACTCTTTTTATAAGTCATGAAACACGCCACACTTAAATAAACACTTTGAATACTTGAATGGACTAAGTAATACATAATTTTTAAACAATTAAAATTTCAATTACCTGCTTTTGGTATTTTTTTAATTATATGGTTGAAAATAAAACATTAAAAGCATAATTGCTGACATTAAATAAAAAATATTCAGAAATAGGGTCTAGCTGCTAGACTGCTTGCTTCTTGGTCATGACGGAGTTGTCCTCTCCTGCTTTTTCCTCCTGAGTAAGTCAAAGCATCTGATTGGGTAACGGACTCCTCCGTCATCTTTGTAGGCGGTGCGTATGGAATAACAGTACAGCTCCATCTTTGTAGGATTTGACAGGAGCTTTGACCCAACTCGAAGAGGACCGCGAGCCCGGGGCTGAAGTACAAGTAGACTGAATGAAAACACAAGCGTAGAAATCAATTTCTTAAACAGAGGCAGAGGGCTTTCATTTTACCAGGCAGCGAGTCTTTTAATTCACATAACCCGCAAAGATGCCCGATTTCAACGCTTGCTCTTGACTCCTGGTTGTTTCCAATGGAACTAGCCTAATGGGACACGCGGGCTTCAAATAAATCCTTTTTGGTGAATGACACTATATCAGAAAGCCTGCGTGATAGCGACAGAGAGACACACACGGAAGTGCGGACATGGCTGACAGGACTGCTCCCAACTGCCACCTGAGACTGGAGTGGGTGTACGGATACCGGGGACATCAGTGCCGCAACAACCTGTACTACACCGCCGCCAAGGAAATTGTCTATTTCGTCGCCGGTGTGGGAGTTGTGTATAACACCCGGGAACACAAGCAGAAATTTTACCTGGGGCACAACGATGACATAATCAGGTAGTAATGACATGTTTATATAAACATATAAATGCATTTCAGCACCGTGGACAGCACCAGACTTGAAACGTGTACTGAAAGTGTAGAGTTGTCATTATTGGAGCTGGTGTCACCTTGTGCAATGTAATGCGATATTTTTCAGCTCCACGGGGAGTGCACCCCTACTTAACAGCATCCCTAGTTTGCTGTGGGTTCAATATTTTGCTCAAGGGCACTCCAGCAAAGCAAGGGGTCCTTTGAAGACTGCTCTTGCTCCCATGTTGGAAGGAACCACTACACTAACATTAATTACTAAACAGAAACTAATATTTTAAAAATTATTTTGTTGAGTTCATGTTTATGGTTTAAAATTATTTGTCACTGACAATCTACTTTTAAACAATGTCATCCTGGGAAAAGCAGCAAACCATTTGTACAAAAAGGACGAATGGGTTGCTGCTTTAATATAAAATGTGGTTTAATGTAAAATATTTGACATTGATGCTCAACATTTAGTCATTTTTAAAAGAAAGGTTGACAGTGTAGACAGTAAAGTGGCCATATTTACCTCTGTGCAGTCCAATACTAATGTGCAGTATCTGAAAAATGCACTTGAACAAAGCTGTCCTTGAAGGAATCCTTGAATTGGAAAATTGAGCTAATAAGGGATTTAGTAGCTCGACCTCTGCATCTCAGGGAAAACGTTGAAACCTTTTTTTTTAAATAAAAAGTTATCATTAATCATTATATCACTCATCTTTCTCAGCATGCTGCACAACAATGACCTGTGACCAGTGGTTTAGTGCTTGTGTTGACATATGTGCGTCTGTGTGTGGGTTGGCCTGGAGATGACTAGCTTTATACTGTGTCGGTCGTCAGCTGGACTCCTGCTCCATTATTAATCGGACAGTAGAGATACTAACCCTCTGCTGCCCTGTGAGTGAAGTACCTGAGTTCAAATGGTGAGCAGGAGGAGTCACAGATTAAACAATAATCTGATATATGATCTACAAAACGGTTGAAAGTACAAAAGTGGTAAATTGGTGTAAAATCTGCAAATTTGATCAGAGTATTTCAGTGTGGCCATGTGCTTTTTGTGCAGCCAGGTGGTTTGAACTAGCGCTATGTACTTACAGTGCAAGCTAAATAGGTCCCTTAAGCTGTCTTTTATTAAATGCCAAGTAATAGCCATTTTAAAGGCCTCGAAGGAGTGCTTATGAAGCTCTTTTAAATACTGCCTTTGAATATGACTTCTGCAGCACAACCAGGAGCAGTGCTCGCCACATTCAGATCTGAATTATCACGTTGCACAAACTCATGTGGAAGAGAAGTGGCTTCTTTAGAGGGACTTAAAATTCAAATACTGCTTCTCTTCATTTTCTTGATGCACTGTTGCTGTAGATTCGTAAGCAATTTTTACATTAATTTGTACTTCACAGGGTCATTGCAGCACTCGTTTTGGGTAATCCTGTAAAAAGTCAATGAATGCCTCTCACCTGACCCACTCATCATCACCTGACTTTTTTGTACAATGGCGCCATCAAACCCACCATGGTGCCATGGAAAATTTCAATGGCGTTATTATTATCAAGACTGGGCGTGCTACTCAAATCAAGGTTAAAAATATATATATATATATGAAGTTAAATAAATTCCTGTAGTAGCTTTGTATACATGTTGTATACATGTGCTCACCCACTCAACTTCATCATGGTTTTAATTTCATGATTTTAAATAGAATCTCTAATTTAATATTTCTCAACTGTTTAAAATTACTGTATTACAAATATATTTTTGGCACAGTAGGAATCAGACATTGAAAGATTATACAAGAAGTTTTATCCTTTATTAAAAAGTGCAAAATTTCAACCTATCCATATACACCTAGGGCATTTATAACTCTGAGTATTTTCACAGGTTAAATTTTTCACAGCTCACTTTGAGGGGGTCACATGGGAACATTTGTCAGATTAAACTGATTTTACCCATTTCTCCCACTTGGTTTTATTCACCCTGAAGCCTGTTTTAACTGGTCTCCGAATAATGTGGAAGAGCTAATTGGCAGGTTTACACATGGATGAAAGACTGAGCAGACAATGATGCAGTAGTCTAGCCTTCTTTTGGTTGGCCTTTTAGGCGGTTTAGTAATGCTTTGCTAGAAATGTAAATAAACATGTTACTGGGCGATAACAGAATAGACCTAGGAGACTGTTAACGACCTCCAGTTAGAGCAGAGTACTGTGAGGCGCATCATTAGAGTGGGTAGCCTTGTTAAAACTGTTTTTTGCTATTCTTTCCTCATATCTGCTGTTGTTCCAAACGGCTTTTATTCAAGTCAGAAACTCTAAGAGCCTGAGGCTCCTGCTAAACCTCAGCAGAAACAGAGTTTTTCCTGCATATAAACAGTCTTGGCTCCCACTCAAGAAAAATTATTAGGACTATGATTAAAAATACTCTTCACTCTTCTTCTTCACTAAGTATCTTTAATAACCTGTGTTTAAGTTACACATAAATACTTTTTTTCTTTATCAAATGTCCAGAAACATGAGAAAAATGAACAGAATTCTATCAGGAAACTTAATACAGTTAAGTTTGGCTAACTGTATACAGACCAATCATGCTAATGTGTGTAGGAGGCATGATTGGTCGGATTGGTAAGCAAACCCTGAAGAGAGGAAACACCCTGGGAAGGTTGGCTATACTGCTGGAATGCACCACTTTAGAAAACCCTTAGTTTTTTCCTACCAATCATTAACATGGTTAACACATTCACCATACATGTGAAAGATCCCTGGGAGATCACAAACCCTGCCTCAGGGTCGCAAGCTAATGCACTCCAAGTGTCGGTGCCAAGCCCTGATAAAAAGGACAGTTGCATCAGGAAGAGCCAGTCGGCATAAAATCTGTGCCAAATCAAATATGCTGATCCATCCACCGTGGCGAACCTTAGGGAAATAAAGCAGCAGCTGAAAGCACCATTAATGGAAAAATAAAGTTTGTGGAAACTCTTGTTGACTTTAGTCTCACCTCATATTTTTCACCTGGTTGTCTGAGCCACAGTTTGAGACCCACTGGTCTATACTACAAAGCTTAAACCCCGACAGTCAGAGCACATACTGTCCACGCAAAGACCAATTCACACGAATACTTTCAAAGCAAAAGGAACAGCTGGCTACACTTTTAACTCATAGGAGCCTTACTCACTCCATCAGCCTTATGGGAAAAAAGAGGCTGATCTTTATCTTTATCTGTTGTGTTCAATGATAGTTCAGTCAGTAGCTGACCGGGAGGAGGGGTGGGGGAAAATAAATAATAAAAAATAAACAAACAAAAAATACAAAGGTACTGAAACAGGCTAAATTTCTAGTTTTAAAGCACGTGTGCTGGTATTGTCCTAGAATTTCACAGTGGTTTTCCAATTGAGTTACCCATGACCCAAACCTAACTGCACACTCAATGCAGGGATAAAGAGATTGTTAGGAAAGCACGTATTTGCAGGGTTTTTCCTGTACTTAAAAACCTTGGCCTCCACCAAAGAGGTTTTAGCCTCCTCTACAAAGGAAATTCACAAAGGTTTTAATAAAATAATTTAAAATCAATTATTTTTAAGTGGGGTTAGCCAGAAGTAAGAGAGATCTACGCAGATTCTTGCAGACTAGTCGTGCTTGCAAAATCAACTCCAAAGGCCAATTTGAGGCAGAAAAATCCCTCTTTTGTTACATTTTATTTCATTTGTGGGTGTGAATTCACAAAAGCGTGGGAAGATAGAGGCATGGCGGCCTTCTCCGTGTAGTCATTATTTGATGGTCTAGCCTTGAAACGCGAGTTTCATCATCACTGTGACATGAACAGCAAACGCAATAAACAGAATACAAGAAGCTGCCTTAAATGCAAGCAATAAAATAGGCCTGTAACTTACACAAGCTCTGTATTCATACTGAACATATGTACATGTGACCTTATGTTTCAAACTGAATGTAAATCGAGCAATGAGAGAAAGCACAATTACTCTCTGGCTGGACAATAACAGGCTGATAAGTCATTTATTGTTTCTGCACTGTGATCTTTTCTGCATGTTTTCTTGTTTTGATCGTGAGAGCTAATGAGTTAACGAGAGGGTTTCATGAACACAGAAATAAAAGGCCATCTCCTGTTACTCAGAATATCATGTTACCTCTATGATGGATCACGGCCAGAATTATGGATTATAGATGCCAGAGTGAGGCTGGTCTTGTTTCGGTGAGCTTGGAGAGATGCTGTGAATACATTTCCATTAATACTGCTGCAGAGTTCGTACAATAACAACGTGTCTGGCTTGCAGAGAAGAGTCTGTCTGTCCACAAACTAATGATATGAACAAAAAAAAAGCATTTTTAATAATAATAAATACAGTATTTTGACTACTATTGAACAAGTTAGAGCTGTGCATGTGAATCAAATCACTGTGATACACTAGAGCAGTGTGTGAGAATGTGCTTACAGATAGTTTTACTGCTGACAGCAGCTATGAGAGCTGATATGATTTACATATCCATCTTTGCTTCCATCTTCCATTGTCTTAGTGTTGATTAATATGGATGGTTTGTGATGATCTACTTCCTAAGACGTTATCTTTAGCTTATTTTATATGCAGGCGCCAGCCTCAGTATAATATCATTCTCTATGGTAATCGTTCATTTTGCTTTTTCTAGATCGCATGCTGGAAATGTTCAGCCACCATATCCACAAGGAAAAAGCCTTATTGGAACACTAGACTAATCTGTTACCAATAAGACTGCCTGCTTCATATCTTTACATGCATTTCCATATTGCCAATGAGTGTATTTGCATGCCTAAGTATTATTATTCTTCCCAGGTTTTGGGTTAATTGTGTTAATTGTGTTCAGTTATGTTTTATATTTTTCACTATCACAGCAAGCACCTTGTATTTACATAGCTATTATCATGGGGTGGTAATAAT